GGGACACAGAGACCCAGCGGATATTCAGGGAGTGAGTGGAACAGGAGGTCTCTGTGAAGCAGATGGGAAAAGTGTCCAGCACAGTCGGGTAAAAACCTGGAGAGTAGAGTCACTTGGAGAGACAGGCTCAAGGTATGGGGGTGTGCAATGGTACCAAAGCTCCAGAAAGGTGGAGTCAGATCAGGGAAGAAAAGCATCAACTGAACGTGGAGGATGCTGCCTTTGATGACTCTAGCCTAGGCATTTGATCATGGGAACACAAACCAGACTGCTATGGGTGATGGAGGACTGAATGGGCAGGGAGGCAGTGTAGACAGCCAGTGTAGATGATTCTTTCAAGAAGCTTGGCTGTGAAGGGAGAGAGAAAGGGAAACTGAAGAAAGAAATTAGACAGAAATATGGGATCAAGAACAGTGTGTTTTTCAGGTTGGAGAGATTGAACAAGTTTAGGTACTGATGAGAAATAGTGGTAGGAAAGAAGCTGAGGATGGCAAGCAAGAGAGGACAATGACTGGAGGAAGGTTCCAGGGGAGACAGGAGGATGTCTGGAGCACAAGGGGAAGGTCAGCCACGGGCAGGAGCACACCTCTTCCCTGGTATGGGAGGGAGGGATGGAGAAGAAGAGTAGGAGATATGCTGGTGGTTGCCAGGCAGGACCTTGAGAGAGTTTCTTGAGGCCTCAATTTTGTTCAGTTTTATCAATGGACAGGATGGACTCTCTGTCAATGACAATGAAATGGAGGTTAAAAAAGGGGTTGAGAAAAGAGGTACAGTCAGGAGGAGATGCTAATGGCAATGAGATGGGGAAGTGTATAGGGACATCTGGAAGAGATTCCAGGCCGCCTTGGGGACCCAGGACTGTAATGGCCCAGATAGACATGGTGGACCAATTCCTCCAGCAGCAGTCAGAACCCCAGGAAGGAGCAGAGCAGAAAGGGTCCAGAAGTTGGGTTCAGCTGGGTGGTTCACACAGACGGATAAGTGGACAAAAGTGGTTAGAGAGAGATGTAAGTTAGAGGGAATAACTGAGCACCACAGTCAAACGAAGTCGACCTCTGAATAAACAATAGTAACCAGTTCAGGTGTTTAGCAGTGGGGTCAAGTCACTGCTGTGTATAGACTAGATTCCCGCTTCAACAAAGAAAGTGACTAGAGGCAGATGAGGTAATAACGGAAAGAGCAGGGTTTTTAGAATCAGACAGACGTGGGTTCAAAACCGTCCTTACCATTTCCCTCTCTGAGTTCAACTTTTTTGTCTATAAAATATGAAAAATGCATGCTTTACCAAACTCGCAAGGATTAAATGAAGTGATTAATGTAAAGTCCTCCTGCTAGGTTGTAAACTCCTTCAGGGGCCTGTCTTGTTATTTAGTGCTCTCACTTCTGCCTCTAATAGGTGCCTGACACATAGTACGTCCTCAATGAACTCAAATTTCCTTCTCCATCTGTGAGGCAATATTCTTCAAAGCACCTTCTCTGGCCCAGGCGTGAGCTCCTCTAAAGCAATTGGTATTCCCTTACCTGACTCGTCCAACCTCAATCCCTTGCAATAGTGAGAATGGAACATTGATCCACGCTTACTTTCATTGATCCACGCTGTTACTTAACTTATGATTTCAGGAAAGTATGCGCCATGGAGGTAGAAACTCTAAAAACATAGATTCAGGACCACGTGGCTGCCCATCCATCCACCAGACAAGTCGCTTGGCTTCTTTACCACAGCCCTGTGGGCTCGAACCTAATCCCTGTGAGGTGGGGAGAAGGCTCGCTCCTCAATACATGCAAGAACGGACTCCAGGGGAATGGAAGGAGCACAGGCAGCCTTCCTTAATCAGCCACTCAAGACCCAAGATCACAAGGGATTATGACTCTCTAAAGACAACGGCGTTTGGACTTTACATTGCATGTTGAGGAAGTCGTCAGAAGATCCAGAAGAAAAGAAATAAAAATACAGAGCCCAATGCCACTCTTGCTGGGAGTTTTGGGCAGGGAGGGAATAGGCTTTCAAGCCAGTGGACATTCTGACCAGCCTGCAGGAGATAACCACACTGCCACCGGAACTGTTTATGTGAAACATGGAGCCAAGAGCCATCCCTAGATTTTGCTAAAGAAGAAATCCAAGGGCAAAGCAGGTATCCAGTGGACAGAAGTGGAGCACAGGTGGCTGAGAAACTGGCAGACTGAGAGGACATTAACGACTTCAAATTCAGATCTGAAGCACACGTCTGTGGCAACATGGCACAGAGACCACGAAATGTTCCCAATTTCCTCTCTCTCTCTCTTCCTTTCAGTGAAAACTCCTAAGTTTTAGTTGGGCATATTTAGTCGGCCCAGCTAGAGACTACATTTCCCAGACTCGCCTGCAGCTAACTGTGCCCACGTTCTGGCCAATGGGATATGAGTGAAAGGACATGGATGACATCTGAATTATGTCATTTAGAAGAGGGCTGTTTGCCCTCCACTTCTCTTCCTCCTCTGCCTGCAGGCAAGAAGGTGGACGTGATGTAGAGTCAGCTTTGACTATGCAGATGAGGTCACCATAGGGGATGGGGAGCAAACGATGGGAGGATCCTAGGTTCCTGAATGACCGTGTGGAGTAGCATTGTTTACCGTCCTGGACTGACCGTCTTCTTCTTAGCTATTAGGTGAAACAGAAATACACTTCTATCCTTTTTGAGCAAATGTATTTTGGGGTCTTTTTGTTACAACTTAGCCTGTATGCTAACTAATACTGGGTGTTTCCCAAAGGTACAGATAATAATAATTTCAGTACCGATGGCAATATTTGTTGAAAGCTTGCTGTGAGCCAGGCATTGTTCTAAATACTTTACATGTTTTATCTCATTTAATCCATACAACACTCCCTGGATGAGGGCTGTTAACTCCCAATTTACAGAGAAGGAGGCACAGGGAGATTAAGTATTTGTCTAAAGACTCACAGCTATTGAGTGGCCTAACCAGCAGTCAAACAAGTACTCTGGGTGGAGACCACACCCTTAGTCCCTATGCTTTTCAAAGCAAAACTTCTCCAATTCCACGCAGTCAAGAGGACACAGCTTAGTTTTCCTGAGAGCTGTGCCCGAATGTTAACTTTTCTTCAAAATTACTGCAGGCCCAAGGCAAGTCATTTAGCTTCTCTGCTAGTCGGTTTTCTCCAAGGGAGCGCAGGAAGGAGACCCAAACTACTGACCTCATGGAACTTCTGGAAGGGTAAAACGAATTCATGTATGTTTAAGAAATGCTTTGAAAGCTATAAAGTGTGGCATAAATGAATATCGCCTTAAGGCAGGCTGGGAAATCCTTAAAACCAAAATAACAAAATGCACTCAAATTTTTTTAATGCAAACACCATCTAGCAATTTGGCAGGTCGCCTGGAAAGGCTGCAAAATCTGTTAAGGAGAGAGCTACGTTTGGTTTTGTGCATCTGTCATCCTCAACTGGAGAAGGGAGAGATTAATTGAAATTAATTGAAAGAGAGCATACCTGTAGGTCTGGTGTGCAGGGGCACGCACACACACACGTACACACACACACAGAGGCTCTCAATATAAGGGAATCATTATTATCAAGAGCAGGGGTAGCAGCAATCTGCAATGTCTGTGGGCAACAGGCTGGTACAGAAGTAGGGGAGTGGGGTGGAGAAGGCAAAATGCTTATAGCGTGAGTGAGCCGGGACTTTGGTGACCAGGCAGCTCCAGCTACTGCTGCCCCACTGCAACGTGAGCCTGCTGTTCCAGACCTTCGAGAGTCACACGTAAAATTTCCCCATTTTCAAAGGATGCTCAAATTTATAAATAAAACATGTCAGGAGCCACCAGTTGATCTCCTGGGATCTAGACCTGTAGCCGGAAGACACAGCTGACTCTTTGAAATGCTTCATCATAATTACGTGCAAGCCACATTTCAGCTTTCTCTCAGCTAACCCCACCCTGCCCTGCCCGGCCTCACCCCATGCCACCTTCCTCTTTTGTCTTCCTCCCCTTAACTCCACCCCTCTGGTGATGCCAGCTTTCTCTTTGCTTTCTACTCTCAGACCTCTCCTTCTCTGCCTTTCAGCTTGTACCCAGTTATCCTGAAGACACAAAGCACCTTCCCTCCTCTGCCTGCCAATCAATGCCAACGTTCTTTCTGCCAACTTCCTCTCAACCTGGTACCCGCCCCCAACACATGATCATTTTTGCTTGTATTCTCATGAAGTAGGGGGGATTAGAGTCGGCTCTCAACTGTCCGTGATGAAGGAAGGGGGCAGGAAGGCACCAACAATGCTCGAGAGGAGACACCCCAAAGTCACACAGCTTTGTCGTTAGCCTTTGGTGGCATATAGGTCAAAAGTACGCCACTGCTGTCACCTGTGCCATGTTGGTCCTGGCCCCCCAGTGGAGACTGTGACAAGCGGCCTCATGGCCTGGAGAAAGCCTTGAAGGAGGATTTGCAGAGCTCTGCCTTCTGCCAAGGCAGAGGTGACAGCTGCTGTCTCCCTTCCACCTTTCCTTCCTCAAAGGTCCCTGCCTCTGTCCTGCAGGTGCTCAGGACACTTCAGCTGGCTGCCCCTGTGTCTGCCACAGCCTGGAGTCCCTTCACCTCCACGGCCACTCTCAACTTTGGCCATTCACTTCATTGCCTCCTCCCCAGCAAGCTTGTGACCCAAAGGCTGGCGGATAGCTCTGACAGGTTTCAGTTTCCCTTTCTTTGCTTTCCCACACCCTCAGGAGTTCTCGGGGCAATGACATGGAGCAAAAGGTCCATGCAGGAGGGAGGATGGAGAGAGAAACACTACCCACACCTGAGGTGTTGTCAGTCACCAGGAGCTACTTGTCACGAGCTGAGACACGACTTCTCACTAAGAGGAACAGACGTACCCCCCTCCCCTGCCCTGCTAATTGGCAGCCCCTGGACGGGCTCACTGCAGACTCTTGGCTCCTCAGGTGGGGTGGGGTGTGCAGATGTCGCCTGGGGCAGAGGAGGGGGCTGTGCTGTGTTCCATGCCCTCCTGACTTACTGTTTGTTTGGGACGTCTGGACTAGGGCTACAAACAGTTCCTCTCTTTGTTTCCACCGCCTTGCAGAATATGTTCTTCCCCCAAAAAGGCACAAAGGTCTCTTTTCTTCAGCTTGCCTGCGCCACTGGGGCGGTTCTGCAGAGCTCGGGTCTGCAAGCCCAGGCCAGCCCTTGCGCTGACTGTCGCAGCCTTGCTCTGCAGCCTGTGCTCACGTGGCCAGTATGATGGGGATGGAGGGTGGCCGCCTGGGCAGGCAGCCAGCCCCAGTTCTTAAAGCCACAGAGCCTCCAGTGGCTGGATGGACCCTGCAAGCTTGTGTCTCATCCTCTCTACAGGAGTTAGCCTGCCCTGCCTGGAAACAGGGATGTATAACACAAGGGCTTGGCTGACATCACCTGGAGAACTTTGAAAAATTCTGATGCCTGGGTCGCAGCCCTAGAAATTCTGATGTAATTCATCTAGGAGTATGGCCAAGGATTTTCAAAACTGCCCAGGAGATTCTAATGTGCAGCCAGTCTTGGGAATCACCATCAGTGCTTCTCAAACTTCAGTGTGCTCAGAAATCACTTGGGGATCCTGTTAAAATGCAGATTCTGATCCAAAAGGCCTGGGGTGAGGTTCTGCATTTCTAACAGGCTCCTGGGAGATGCAGTTGCTTCTGGTCCATGGACCACACTGAACAGCAGAGGTTATGGTTGGATCTGCATCCTGCCACCCACACATGGAGTCATTGGTAAGTTTCTCTCTAGGCCTCAGTTTCCTCGTCACTCATCTTGGTCGGCTGTTGTGAGGATTGACTACGATAAGTGGAAAGCACTAGAGCAGCACCTAGCACCCAGAAAGTGCTCAACAGATGTTGGCTCTTATGATTTTCAGCTGGATGCCTCCTTCAAGGGAAGAAAAGGATCTGCTTTCTTCTGATCTGTCTCTCTCCTGCTTCAAAGCCATCAGCACTTCTCTTTTGCCACAGGATTAAGCCCAAATACCATATGAGATCCCTTACCAAGTGGTCCTTGCCCACGCCTGTAGCTTCACCTTCCCTGCCTCTCATGAATCTCTGCACCGCCATTTCAAAACACAAGTCACACACCTAAGCCCACTGCAGGCCCTCCCATTAGCTGCAGGCCTTAGCACGTCCCTGCCTAGGCCTGGTTCACTCTTTCTGCCCTCTGCCTCCATCTGGCTAACTTCTTCTCTTTCTTATGACTTGGCACAGTTGTGACTTCCTCCAGGCAGCCTTTCCTGGCTCCCAAGTACAGGGGAGGTGCCCCCTCTGTGTTCCCACAGCACGCCACGCTTCTCCTCCTGAAGCCCTTATCGTTGGGCATTGTCAATGTCTATTTACGATTTACTTGTCTCTCTTACTCTAGTGGCTAAAAGCTGAGGGTAGTCAAGACCTATTGTGCTTATCACCATGTATAATAATATTGGAATGAGTGAGTGAGTGAGTGAATAGTAGAATAAATGGGTTTAATTAATGGAATGAATATATAAATGAATGAAGTTCTCTTTTATACAGAATCAGAAACCCTCCGTCATGCAGTCCCCCCCACCCAGGGTACTATCCCTGACCAGCTGGAACCTCAGGCATAGCTCTGCAAAGGTCCATAGAGACCATAGCTACCCATCCTTCACCCTTTCCAGCCCCAGCTTGCCTGCAGAGTCCTGGTATCAAGCTTGAGCTGTTTGATGTCTTATTTTCAGAGAATGAAATAAAGTAAAATGTAGTTGCTAAATTGGTCCTAGGTCACAGAGGAGCCAGATGCCATCTATTATGTTAAATTTTATCAGACAATTGCCAAAAGATGGAAACAACACACTGTCCATCAACAGATGAATGGATAAACAACATGTAGCATACATATACAAAGGAATACTATTCAGCCATAAAAAGGGAAGAAATTCTGACACAGGCTACAATATGGATGAACCTTAAAGACATTGTGCTAAGTGAAATAAGCCAGACACAAAAGGACAAATATTGTCTGATCCCACTTATATGAGGTACTTGGAATAGGCAAATTCATAGAGACGGAAAGTAGAATAGAGGTTACCAGGGGCTAGGGGAGAGGAGAACGGAGAGTTAGTGCTTAATGGGTACAGAGCTTCTGTTTGGGATGATTAAAAAGTTCTGGAAATGAATAACGGTGAAGGTTGCACAACGTTGTGAATGTACTTAATGCCACTGAACGGTACACTTAAAAATGCTAAAACAGTAAATTATATGTTTTGTATATTTTACTAGAATAAAAAAAATAACTTTATTAGAAACCTTAACTGTGGCAACACCCTAACCTGCACCCCTCGGGGGATGACTTTTGTAAAGGAGCAGAGCTTCAGGGCCTGAAACATGTCTTGGCCTTTCTTTTCCATTTTCCTTGAGGCGCAAAGCTGCAACGCAGATCCCCAGAAGGTTAAACTGTGTGGATGACCAGAATTGCAAGGAATGCCAAATATTTCCAGTTGGTTTCTTCAGTGGGTGAGATCCAGGCAAAACTGCTAAGGGAGAGAAATGCTACAATATTCAGATGGCATCAAAGCATGCTTTGGAAAAGAAGCAATTGCTTGTGTCAAAAGAATTTAGAAGTATAATCAAGCTATTGTTTGCAATTGCTTAGCTAAAATGAGGCCCTATCAAAGAAAAAAATTAAACCCAGGTAACTATCCGTACAGTGGGTCATTATAGCTATTTAAAAGTTAAGAAAAGGAAGGCAATCGAAGAGATTCAGTGGATGACAGAAATGGGAATTCAAGATGCTTTTCCCAAAGAGGCGCCTCAACCTGAATTAGATATGGAGCTTCCAGAAATGGTCACCTCTGACAATGGTGGGGCTGAGGGATTAGTCCTCCAAAGTTGATTTGGCCTCTGGTTGGAATCGAGGGTTCTGCAAACTGTTGAAGAGATCAAAATCCATTTCATGTTTCAGCTCCATTGTGCTGGGGTCCCGGGCTCTGCCTGAAACCCTGAGGAGAAACCATTAGCCGTTGGCCAGCACCTCTCACCATCTTTTTGTTCGTTTTTACGTCAGCCCCAGGAAGTGTAAGTTATGGCAGGGAAACCTTTCCCGCCATATGGCAGAAAAAGTTCCCACCTGCTGGTTCCACAGAGGTAGCTGGGAAGGACTTGGATTCTGGGTCTCCAGCTGGGCCTCCACCTTCACAGGTGGCATATCACTTTCTCTTTCTGCAAAGTGCATTTGCACCTCTGGTCTCCTCCGATCTGCCTCGCCTCTCTAAGGTAAAGGAGGGAGGGAGATCATTGAGCATTACAATCTGAACCTTACACTGGGGGATGAGGCCCCCAGAGTGTAGGGAAGCTGGGACGTGAAGACAGCCAGGCCTCAGAGTCCACCAATGTCCTCAAAGAGGGACATAGGGACAGGCTTACTCACTTCCCTCATCTTCAGATCTCAAATCAAGCTTTACTTCCTCCAGAAGTCTCCTTGAACCCCCAGACCAAGCCGGTACCTCCTGTTATGAGTTTTCAGAGCTCCCAAACTTCTTTCAAAACACTCATTACTTTATGGAATTCTAAATTCACAGAATATTTGACTGTCTGACTCTCCCACTAGACATTAAGCTGCATGAGAGCAGGACACAGGCCTGTTTTGCTGGCTGCTGTGTCCCCTGTGCCTGCAAAGCGACCAGCACATAGTAGGTGCTCAGTTAACACTTGTTGACTGAATGAATCAATGGGAGCCAGAGAAGATGGAAAGGGAGTTCTGAAATATTTCACTGGGGCCTTGAAAATTAAACTTGCTCCCATGTTTATTTCACTTTATCCCCAAGTTACATTAATAATAGCTACCATTTCCAACCATACTAGTAATTATAGTAACCATTTACTGAGTTCTTACTATATGCATGTTTGTGGTTTATCTAATTTAGGGGTTTGTCTCATTTGATCCTGACAACCACGTTCTGGAGTAGGCAGAAAACCAAGCCCCGAGAAGTTGGCTGTCTTGCCCACGGCCATACAGACATGAAGTGGCACAGCAGGGATTTGACTGTTGCTAGATCTTTTATATATATAACTGCATTTCATCCTCATGTACACTCCATGAGGGAATGGAAGCTCAGAGAAGTTAAGCAGTCTGCACGAGGTTACACAGCTAGGAAGCCACAGAGTCAGGCTTTAAACCAGGCTCTGATTCCAAAAGACTGCTCTCCAAAAGAATATCTTCTTGGCTCAGTGACAATGTTATTTTAGAAGATAACTAAAGAAGTCCAAGTGAGTGAGGCCACCAAGGTGAATTATGATGAGAAATTTGGATTCAATTGAACAGAAGGCTAGAAGTTCCCACTGCAGGGGCTGGTCCCCCTTCCCCAGCCCGGTGCCCACTGCACATTCCCGTCTGCTTCTGCCCCAGCAAATTACATTTCCTCTGAGTTCCCCAGCCTGCAGCCGCTACCTCGGACTGAACCGTTTATCTAGGACCAAAGCCTGGGCAGGGAAGGGTTTCCTGTGACCTCCCTGTAAATCTCTCTGCCTTCACAGGGCCTGGTGGGCACTCGGCCAGCTACTCTCCTCTGCAGTGCCAGGGCCCCACGCAGCTGGGAGTTCCTGAAAGGCTAAGCAACCTTGTCCCCTGCCTTAGGAACAGAGCAGCTCTTGAGTCTGTTCTGCTGGCAGAGCAGAGGGAAATCGTGGCCCCTGTTGGAATAGGGCCCACCCACCCGGAAACTCCATAAGCACAGCTGAGTTTCAGCACAAGACACCAATGGTTTTCAGAAGTACATTTCTCAGCCACAAATAATGCCATTGTCACGGTAGCACTTCCTGTTTTGCACAAATCAACCATATTAAAAACAGAAAGAGGCAAGGGGCTGGCATTCGTTGCGTCTGCTCAGTTGTTTGGGAAATGCTGACTTCTGGGGATGGTTTAGAGGCAGGCAAAGACACATGAAAGGCGTGGGGCCGCCAGCTTTCCTTTCCGCTGCCTTCTGTTCTAACACCTGGCCCCGGAGCGTCACGATAAATTTCCCGACTGGTCCTCGTGCTCCGGTCTCTTGCCCTCGTTCTCCACACTGCTTCCAGGCCAATAGTCCCCAGATGGTATTTTGGTGACATCATCTATTTGCTCAAGACCCTTTAGTGGCCTTTCCACAGACCACAGAGTACAGACTGAAGACTTAGCCAGGCATCCAAAGTCCTCCTCTAGTGACCGTGACCACATTTACACAGACTCTGCTTCCAGGGCTGAAAGTAGGGCAGAAAAGTGCA